GATGTACAACGTAACTACATAGTCCACTTACTTTCTGTGCTACCAACAAAGTGTATTAGTAATACTGCCAGGGCTGCTCTGAAAGTATTATCTCCTATTTCATTATGGTGGCCCATGAAATCACAGGCAGTAGAGGTTGAACCGTCCTGATAATATTCTGTTACATATTGTTGTTTTGCAGCTGATGGCAGCAGAAGGGCAGTCTGACAGAATGGTCTGACATGGAAGTGCTGATGAAGCACAGGTATGGAACTCAGTTCCTTCATGTGGAACAAGTGGCACACATTCACTGATGCTTATTTAATATTGATGGAGATGAGAAGTGGATGTGAGCACAATGAGGGGCTAGGTGGTAACATTTCAGCAGGAACAAAAAGAACAGCATGTGCAAGTTTGTCAGAACCTACTCAACAAATATGAGGCTAAAGGTGAGTTTCCTGGATCGCCATTACTGGTGACAAGATGTGGTGCCACTACAAGCTGGAGTCAAAACAGCAGTTGATGGAGTGACAACATGTAAACTCCATCAAAGAAAATGTTCTAGGCTCAGCCCTCAGCAAGTAAAGGGATGTGCACTGTTTTTTGCAATAGGAAAGGGGCAATCCTTTTGGATTTTCCTGAAACAGAGACTAACCATAAATTCTGACTACTACATTGTGACACTAAGCTGAATGCTCAAATTTCCAGAGTCAGGGCAGAGAAGGTTGCAACTTTTCTCTTGCAACATGATAAAGTCAGGTCCCATACCAGCTTGAAGACCATGGAGAACATAGCAATTCTTGGCTGGGCTGTCCCACCACATCCAACATATGAGTCTATATTTGGGGCCTCCTGACTTTTATCTGGTCAGACTAATGAATGACAGACTGCGTGGGCAATATCTTCTTAGCAACAAAGCTATCACAGCAGCTGTGAGACAGTGCACCACTGACATTGGTGCAGATTTTTATGAGCATGGCATGCAGGCTTTTGTTTGTTGTTGGCAAAAATGTACAGCTAATAGCAGTAACTATGTTGAAAAGAAAAAAAAGGTGTTTTGTAGCCGAGAACTTGCTCTATCAAAAAGTGTTATTGTGCCCTTTGTAGCTGTTGTAGTTTCCATGAAAATAAATAGGAAGCATTACTTTCAGAGCAACCTTTGTATAACAGAAGAGCAAGTGAACAATAGAGAAGTGCTTGACAATGGCAGAAACCTGTCTTAAATGTGAAGATAAACACACACTGATTAGGCTTCAGCATCTGGGGGTTTGAATTAACAGTTGCAGAGTCAAAGCATACACGAAAATCTAAGGCCAAGGTGAAAGAAGAAACTCAAAGATGACAACAGAACACAGAGGCAGCCAAATGATTATGAAGGTTTACTAAAACTGTGTGAGAGGCTTCGCAAAAGTACGCTGGAACAATATCCTAATGAAAGGCAAAGTGCAGAAGAAGAAATATAGCAAGAACACACATGCTCCCACACAGTGTTTTAAAAGAGATGTGAATGAACTTACATAGGAAGCAAAACTTGACCTTATCATTACTTCTCTGAGACAAAGGAAGAAGTCAACTCTTACTGCACTATATTTACTGTTCCAGGGCATGGGGGAACATACAAATTAAGAAGATGCTAAGGAACTGATCTCAGGGGTGAGAATCCTTTACAGGCATCTTCGTCTCAATTCAAGGTTTTATCATTATTTGCTCAGATTTTCAGCATCTGCAAACAACCTTTCCAGTCCTAGAAGCCAAATAATTTGTCCATATAAAGCAAAAGCTTGACACATAAACCTGATTTTGGAGAAGTATTTATTATTACTGAAACAGTGCTGCAAACCTGCCAGACAGTTGCAGCAACAGATGCCACACTGTAAGCTTTCTCCACCAACACTGAATTCTTCAGGCAAATTTATATTCAGTATGTTCTTCAATGCTTTATTTACTTCTATTTTTCATCACAACTAAAGAAGAGGCACATATTGACTGGGAGTTAATTAATTAAATGAGATCCATATAAAGTCCTTCCAGAAATGTCATGATCCAGCTCTGTCAGTCAATAATTGCAGAAGACTTTACTCTTGAGGATAGCTAACCAAAAATAATGGCTCCCCCTAATTTATCACTGACTGTACAGACAATAAAACTACAGAATGTAGTTTTGAGCAGGACACTACATGGAAAACATCTATGTAACAGAGGGTGGCTGGGCAACAGATAGCTAACTATCAAATCTCAATTGCTCAGCTTTCAAAATGAGTTTGAAGAGTGAACCTAAATTTATATAGCTTACATTTACATACATGTTTATCTTTGAATAGGTAGAAAAAACCTGAAAGCTACTTTCACAAAACTGTGATCACAGATAAATTCATTACTACATCAAGATGGGCCATTTTCAAGAAACGTAGAAAGAAACAAAAACATCTGTGAAAGAATACGATTAATGATACTTACAAGTCTATTAATTAGGGAAACCATAATGCTAGCAAGATTATTAGCTATTTTAAACAGAGACTAAACTTGGAATAACTTGCATATAGTTTTTATATTCCTGAGATCTCTTAATAGCTGATTTCCACTCTCAGTATTGTCTAGTTCATTCTGGTGTCCATTCTTTATGAAATACTACATTAAGTACAAATACGAAGTACTTTCTGACACAGCAAATTATAGTATGTACAAGGACTTGTGCTTCATGAATTGAATTATAGTATCAGTTTTGCTAGAATTTCTGAATAAAGTTACACCAATGTAACTGAAGTAACTTCTGATATTTGACATCATTTAAAGTAACTGGCAGGTCAGAGCTTAGAAAGAAACAAAACAGTTTTGTTTTGAATATCAACTTCGCTAATTATTAATACACTAAAAGATACAAAAAGCTTATGCCTCTGATTTCTACATCTACTACAAAAAATTCAATTATAATTTCATTTTTAAAACCATAGCCTACACAAAACCTTCACAGTTTCCATAAACAATATCCATTTGTGATTTAAATCATGTTTAGATGCAATGAACCTGTTTTGTTGTGCTGTTGTTGTTTTTTTTTTGGTTTTTTTTTTTTTTACCAGCCTGCACCCTCAGTTCAAGCCTATTATTTTAAAATGAACAAAATGTTAACAGAGCAAAAAAAAAATTTAAGACTCTTTCTTCTAGTGAGAATACATTTTTGTCACCTGTCTCCTGCTATTTGCTTTTACTGTATTCATCCCTCAAGAAAATGCAGTCTTTTGTTTCTTCTTTCTACTGCAAGTGACACTGTCATCAAGTTCCAGATCAACAATGACTTCGTGCCAAGGCTTGCTATATTTATACTGTATATTTAGCCAGAAGATAAAGCAAACACTGTGCCCCAAACTTTGAGCTGTATGATTTACAAGTAACAGTTCCTGAAAAGCAGCTTATATTGCATAAGTTTGTGCATACATGTGTACATACATACACACACGCCCCCAGCTACGAACATAGCATGGGTTATGTTATTTTTCTTTTAATCTATAGACATTCTCCCTTACAACCTGACGATTTCTGTATGGCAATGAAGTGTCTTTCTGAACAAAAGTACTGAATTTTGAAGAAGACACATACTTCTATCTGACCAAAGAGATTATTGGGCCTACTGAATGCTCTTAGCTGAAATATTAACCTGCCTCTTCCATCCTCCATCTCCCGATATCTTGGTCTCAACAATTAACGCTACAGATTGCTCAAATTAAAGCTTTTGCACCTAGCAATTAACTTCTAATAGTTACTAATCTAATTCTGAATTCATACAGAAAATGAGATAAGGAAAAAAAGACCATGGAAACAACAATAGCCACTAACTCAGCAACAGTATCAGTATGGAAAAACATCACATGCATGTCACCATACATGAAACTAAATCTTGGGGAAAAAACATGAGCTCAAGAGCTCCAAAGGTACAGGAGAACAGAAATGAATGGGATGAGCATCAAGGACATTCCATGTGCTTAGTGGAAAAACAGAGGTGCCACAGAAAGAAAAAAAAGAGAGCCACTTAAGGTTATGTTTCGTTTACCTGGGTTCTAATCACACAACAGAAGGTTGGAAAGCATGGTCTCAATGGAAAAGAAGATTCACTAGGAAGTGGTGAGCATGCCATAAGGTGGCATTTCTACCCTAGCACTAGATATTTAGAATAGTTTTAGACGGGCGGCAAGGTTGATTCATCTTAATTACAATTTGGTATCAAAAAACTTATGGCAGGGTAAAAGGAAGCTAAAGAGTCTAACCCATTTTTAATCTTGTAAAGATGATTTTTCAGGATTCTCTAGCTAAAGTAGTACCTGAAGACCAATCTGAAGACTACTTGCTGGCGATTGATAAAAGCCTTGTTCATCATTCAGAAAAAAACTGTTCCCATAAAATAACAAAAATGTTGTCTCCCCCCACCAACATTCCATCTGAAGCATTCCCTTACAGTTATACTGAGAATGCAATAACTTTGTATGTGGCAGCAGTATTTCTATGCAGCAACGTATGAGAACAAAGATGTCCTCTGTCAAGCTGACATTCATGCAACAATTTTTTTTAATTTGACCATTTCTCCAAATAGGTGATTGTGAAGAAATTAAGTAACTTTCATTGTTTACATCTAGGGACTTAAGGTTAGAATATGCTGTTACTTTTCCTCAGATGCACACACAGAAATGATTAAACTTCAAACAAAACCAACTTCAAAATCAAGATAAGAAAATGTCTTAATGTATGGTTAGATATACAGCTTGGGTTGAATATGACACAAATGTTCAGAAGATGATTAAGGAGAGAATTCTGAAGTTTACTTACATATATTAAAATAAATGTTTGTAATTATTTTTTCAAACACGATTAGGTCTGCAAAAGAATGTTTAAGCTAAGCACAGCAGTAAGGACATACAGATAAAAAAAACTAATAAACAGCATACATAATCTCTGAAGTATGGCAAACTCATGCATATGCACTAACTATAAAATAGAGGAATGAAACTCTAAAAGTCACAAGTTTTACTCACAGAACTCCTCCTCCAGGAAGTTTGTGTGAATTTATCAGCATACGCGCACTTTGCCACTGTGGGTTTTTGGCTCTCCTTCTGGCAATTACATCTACTGGCCTTAAACACCCCCCAAGAAAGAAAATGGAGAACTATTAGAAAATAGCTAATTAAGATTGTTGGAAAGCACCATTCTGACCCAGCACCTAATACCTGCTGGCAGTATTTGGTTACTGTGTCTATTATGCACTGATAAAAATGAAGTACTGGTCCCTGTGTTAGTTTGCTTATCAAACAATTTGCTCCCCTGGATTGTTTCTCTTTATGAGGAAAGCACTTGGAAGATTTGTCATATATATGCATATGCACCTAAAAACAGTAACTGCACATATCATGATGAATGGCTACATAACAGCACATACAAAATCTTTACTCAGCATATGCAAAGAGATGAAATTGGAACAACACTGTAGAGGCTTCTGCACTTTAACAAAGGAAGTTACATGGCAACTACTTCAAAATTTGTTATAAAATGAACAATTCATACCCCATGTCAGTCTTGCACATTCTGTGGTGCAAGTCTGTTTCACTATCAATAACTGAAAAAGTATGTGTAGGTATTTGAAAGCAACGATAAGAATACAGTATCATTGTCATAGAAAATGCATGGACTGCACAGGAAATTTGAAGAAAAAGTTATTCCCATGTGCCATGTTCTTAGAAAGGCCAAAATACACTTAAGTGGGTTCATACACTCCCTCCCTCTGTGCTATTCCTCCAGGTTTTTGATTGAGACTGAGTTGAGACAATCAGTTTGAAGTAAATTTAAAAAGTAATTTATCTTAAGTAACTTTAGTAAATGGCTTGAAAATGTGACTACTTTGCAGTGGACTCGTTTGACAGAAGATAATGCAGAAATACACAGGGCAAAATCCAAAACTAGAATAGAACAGGAATAAAAATTGAACAGCTATATGATACTTTTGCTTAAGAATGTTTGCTCGTCCGAACCTGATCTGTAAGTTTCCCCTGGTTTCAGAGCAACACCTTGTATTTATTTGCTCAATATTAAAAAAAATACAAATCATGACTGGCCTCCTGAATGAAAGACTCCCTCAGAAAAGGGTAAAAACTAAAAGGTTATCCCTTTTAAAGCCTTCATAAGAAATATCTATTCACTTTGCACTCTGCAGTGCTTCCTTAGCATTTTGTTAAGCATTAAAAATTATACTTACCAGTTGATGCTCTAATTGGTTGATTGTTTCATCCTTCTTCTTCAGTTCATCTTTAAGCTGCCTGATCTCATTCAATAAGTCTTCTGTCTACAAAAAGCATTAGGCAATATGAGTTTTTCCCCTAAGGGCCACAATCTAAATCAACAGCTCTGTAGGATACACAGCAGAGATTCATGGAACCCTAGCAGTAACATTAGCACAATCTTTCTTCATCTTATTTGCATGGAGAGATGTGGTAAGGAGTACACCTTATGAACAAAGAAACTTGAAGTCTTTTTTTTTTTAAAAAAAAAAAAATTTAGCCAACTCACTCAATTTGCAGCCTGTGTAAGTAAATCATCTGCAGTTTTGATGTTTTGATGCTGACTCATCTGTTGTATGAAAAGGTAGGATCACAGAGAAAAAAGCCCTAATCATCAAACACTACCTCTAGTGGTACTTGCATTAGTAATATTAGACCATCTAAGGAACATGGAATACAAATCCAACAGAAAATCAAAGTACATAATTATAGTATTATTATGCTTCAAAGGAAACTTGGCCTTTTCAAACTTTAACAATTAACAAATAGTGAGAAAAATCTTTCAGATGTTACTCTAAAGCTGATAATTCCCAGGACTGCTACTAACATAGAAAAGCAAAGTTATTTTAACTACCTAACTGTACTGCCATCTGTGAGTATTTTAGAAGGTCGAATAAACCATTCCGCTTAAAGAAAACTCAGATAATCTGTACATATAGCCAAGGAGGCTGTGGATGCCCCATCCCTGCAGGCATTCAAGGCCAGGCTGGATGTGGCTCTGGGCAGCCTGGTCTGGTGGTTGGTGATCCTGCACATGGCGGGGAGTTGAAACCAGATGAGTATTGTGGTCCTTTTCAGCCCAGGCCATTCTATGATTCTATGACACACACATATCTGGTAGGTTTTAATAGATGGAAGAGGCACTACTTCACAAGACAAATACAAACAAGTTTGTATCCCTTTTTCTGAGGAGTAAATCGGTGCCATTTACCTTAAAATAAGTTGACTCAGGTTCTTGTGGTTCTGGACTTGATGGTATCGAATGTGAGATGTCCTGGAGCGACACATTCTCATCATTCTGACAGAGAACAAGAACAAACTGTCAAAGTATTTGCTTAAATAACCCCTTTTCAAAGATATGAATACATCATCTCTCTGAAAAGCCTGTTACAGCACCTGAAGTCCCTCCCTGTTAGTTCTCCTGTTTTCCTTTCTCTGATATAAAAGCCTGCTTTGCAGCAGTGCATGTATACTGCCCAGAGCCATGAACAACCTCTCCTCACGAAGTAGCTGCAGCTATGTCAAAACATCGATTTTGTGCAAAAATTGGCCATCGTATTTAAATGCTTTAAATCAGGATGAAATAGTGATGCTGTGCCATTTTAAAAGCTTCATTTCCTTTAGATCCTTTCAAATATGTCTAAGTAACACCAAAATATGCAGCCAAGATACTTCAGCTAAATGTTCTTCATTAAAAGTAGTAACATTTACAACTGTGCAAGCAAATACAAAATTATTTCATGGTCGTAAGAACTAAATAACAATTAGAAAAAACTATTAGTGTGAAAGAGCACTCTTTCCTCTTCTCGTTCTGAAACTAATCACAATAAGGAGAAATGCAAAAACAAGCAATGATATCAAAGGATAATTTTACTTGGATATATTGCGAAGCACTGACACTAAGAGCACATCCACAGGAAACACAAAACACATAGATGATCACATCTCAAAACCTGTCTGAAACCACTGCAAGTCTGAGCCAGCAAGTCCACCCTCAAAAATCACCAAAATAAAACTGCAGCTCAAATACTAAAGATCAACTGTGAGGAAAAAAAAGATAGTCCTATTCATGCCCTTTAAGGCATATGTTTCAGCCTTCCAACATGCAGTTTAATTCAATCCACAAGCAGCTGTGTGCCCCTGGGCAGACCACCAGCAGGAGACAGACTGATAAAGTAATTTGGAGCAGTAATTTGCAATATTTACTTCTACAGCATTTAGAAATATTTTTCATTATTTTGCACAGTAATATCTTAAAGAATCTTACTTCATCCCAAACTTCTCTAAAATGCTAAAGTAAGGGAGCAACAATAAAAAACACTGATAAAATTTGTCAACTTTAAATAACTACTTAAATTACTACACACAGAAAAAAATATAATCAGTGTCACAGTTGGAACTGTGAAGGATTCATTATGGGAATGGGAAAATATAAAGCAAAATAAGTGTACAAAGCCTCACAGCATTTAAAGCTCTACAGCTGGTATTTGTAGAATACCAATACAATGCACAAAACTGGACAAATAGAATGTTCTACAGCAGCAGATTATGACCCCAATGCAAACAGCCTAAGTCACACATTCTCTGGCAGTTCAAGCACTCACACCCTACACTGCACCTGATACTCACCAGCAAAGCAAGAGCCAAGTCCATTTGTACCAATTCCCTTACCCCTGTTCTAATCATTTTATTACATACCATAATCTCAGTGCAAGTGGGAAAGAACACAAATCTAACACCATCACTGTGTACCCCACTGTGAACATATATTGGACTAATCTGTGCAGATCTCCTTGCTTTGCTTTTTTTCTCAATTGTGTTGCAACAAGAAAGGAGAAAGAAAGCAGTATGAATAAGAAGGCTTTCCAAGTACCGTGAAAAAGGGCAGGAATTAGAACAAAGAAGAATTTGCAGAACAGTGTAACTGGTTTAATGCACATTATTTTTGGTTGCCTAGAAATCATGCACCAAGACATCAACTTTGGGAAACTCGGACAGAACATATCACTTCAAACCCTAGGTCTGTGATACAGTTAAAAACCTTACACCTTGCAGTTACCTATGAAAGCTTCCAAGCTGATGCTTTTAACCCAACTGGATGCTTTTGTTTGACTTTGTTTTGCTTTTTGTTTTGTTTGTGTTTGTATGGCATTATTTTGTGCTTAGGTTTTGGCTTTTGTTTTGTTTTGTTTTTTTTTTGTTTTTTTTTACAATAGTAGAATACATAAATTCAGTATACCATGAATTTGCATTGAGAACAGTTAACTAATTTCATTTGTGCCAAACATGGACAATGAATGCAAGAAACAGCAAAACAGCAACTCAAGATAGCTTATTAAGCATATCAAAATCAAATGCTTACCAAGCATACTGACAAATAAGCTACAACTTAAAACAAGCAAGGATAAAACATTTTAATTTCCTTAGCAGAAGACTGCTTTTGTGAAACAGCAGCATTGGGGAGAAAAGAAATAGCAATGTTTGTTACTATTTCCCAGATTTAAGGCTGCAGTATCAATTAAAACATCAAACAATACATTCTAACTCTCTTGTTAGTTACAATCAAACAGTACTTCCACTGTAGGCATGAGGCTAAGAGACTAACGCTGTACATGTTGACACATTTAGCCATGTAAGCAGAGTCTTTAGCTAGAGATTCATTTTCATAACCTGAAATACGTATCTATATATTTAATCAAGCTGGTTCTCAAGTAGCAATCAAGCAACTGACAATCAATGCAGTGTCAGATTACACCCTTTGCTTGATATTTCATCAGCAATCTATTTGAATCTACAGTGGTTTTCAGTTCAGTTCAGTCACATTTACTGGAAATTTCTCACTATTTCAGTCAACAGCAGCATCCACTGCAGCATGTGCCCAGTTTTGGGTGGTCCCTGTGCAACAAACTGGGGGTAACCACAAGCTTTGAGAAGTGTCTGAAAGTGGTTTACAGAATTAGAGCTGGAAGTCTGAAGCTGGAAACTTACAAAATACAACAGCAAGATTTAGAAAATCATCCCAAACTTATTAACAATTACTTAAAGGAAACAGGTTGATGGAGTGGGAAAAAACACCCACACAAACTCCCTATAATCACTGAGCATTCAAAACAAAGTTGGTCCTGAAAAAAAAGAAAAAATTACCCCTGGTTTTTTGAAAACTGATGTCAACAGATGTTACAGCATTGCTACAACATCTGTAACATTTTAGTATTTCTCTGCACTGCAGGTTTTCTTTTAATTTCTCTTTTTCTTTTATTTCTCTTCCATGCAGTTTTTTTTTCTTCCCAGCTAAACGTACATGTAAGATCACAGGTAGAACTCCTGAAAGAATACCCTTCTCTCTTGTGTTCTAGAAGACAACTCCTACATTGGCTCACAGAAAAATAAGCTCAAACCTTGAAGGCCATAGCTTTCATTACACTGACATATTTTGGATTCTTCTATTAAGTAGTAAACTCTATTCATTGGAAGCAAATTAATTTTCAGTAATTATCTTGTGGTTCCTTACAATGTAAGCTGTGTTTTCAACATGCAGGATTTTAAAAGAATATACTGCCAGGAACATAATTTCAAGTGGAGAATTTTTTGAGCACTGTAACAACTACAGCTCATGAAAAAGCTGAAAAATAACAAAGTTTTCAAGGCTTTTTGGGCTGTTGATTCTCAAGCAGATTACAGAAAGATTCCAAGTTTCCTGCACTACAAAATGGTCACTTGAGTAGCTTCATTTGCTAGTTCAGCATTATTGTAAATAAGCCAACAGAAAACTGTTCATCAAGTAGAGGGTGCTATTTGCCTGCTTACCACTTGACATTTTAATGTGCATTTGACTTTGGTTTCATTGAAATATTACCATGAACGTCACAGTTTCAATTGTCTATCAAACACTGTTAAAACAACAGCCCAATAGTAACCAACAGTCTGAAGCTACGATATGCCTTTTTTTTTTTTTTTTTTTTTTTGCTGTGTTGCCTATTTCTTTAGCTCTCCTTGTTTTTAAGGGTTTTAGTAAAAAATCAGGACTAAAGAAGAACAAACAAAATCCACCTAACCAAACACATCTCCACCACGTTTCCCCTTTCTCTTAAGTGCATTCCTACTTCACAAATCATCAGTAGCCTGAACCCTTACTTCAAATTCCATAATTTAGCACCAGTTACTTAACAAAGTGGGTCAGTGAGGAAGGTAGCTTTTAGCTCAGACAGCACACAGGAACAGCCAACTGGCAGGTTGTAGACAAATCCACCCACCATCCCCTTTCTGGGACTAGCAAGCACCTGCACTAAGCTGTGCTTTATCCACAGAGAATTCCATACAGGCAGAACATGGTGGCAGGAGCAACTAGAAACCGTGGTTATGGAAATACATTGCTGCTCAACTTTTCTAGCAGTCTAAGCAAATAATTCACTTGCCTTCACCTAGTGTTTTACTGGCCAAATTCAAAAAGATTACAAAGGACTATTTACAGAACTGGCCTTGTGAATTCCCATCAGTAGTTGTGCAGAGTTACAGAGTATGCTGCATCTAAACCACATCAACAAACTCCCTATCCAGCTAATGCGAAATATCCTGTAACACCAAAAACTGCACCAGCACTAACTTCAAGACAGACTCCTAATCACTGAGTGAGGCACAGCCCTGATCTTAAGTTGATTTATAAGCCTTAGCCACATTATTCTGTAGTTTGCGCAGACCTTGTCGACATAGGGACACACATTTTATCTTCCTCAGTGCAACAATTTCCACTTTGCTTCCACTGTCAAAATTTTCTTCTCATGTTGGCTGCACAGTAAAACAATTATTTTTATTTATTTTACAATTACACACATTCTGCCCTATCTTATTCACTCTCTCGTTGGCTGCTGATTTTCCCAGGCTTCTAATTTATTCTAATTTACTTCATTTCTGACTCGTCATTCTCTTTTGGTAGCTCCTCTTTAAATGTCACTCAATTCTTTCAAATCACTGAGCTCAAGTCACTGTGTTTCATTAAAAGTACTGACAGTCTAACCATCCAGTATTAGTCAGCTTATCGATCACCTTTTTACTGCACTTAATCACACTGCAGAGTAATTGAACACTTCAAGTTAATTCAGGCTCTGAAGCTCGCCTTCCCTTACTTTCTCAAACTTCAGCTCCCCATATTCATTTTCTTTGTTTTAATTCAGTTCCTGCTTGAGTAAGTGGAAGGTCCTGACTATTTCTTCTGTCTGTGCTTCCATCATGTCTCAGACAGAGCGAGGAAAACTAAATTAGTAGTGCTGCATTTTGTACTGTATTCAAAGTATAGCAGATTCCTACTGGTATTCGTTTTTCTACAGAGCACTAAATTCAAACTAAATTTTCCCAGTATAAACCAAGACCTTATTCTGTTAATGCCATTAGTCCTCCACTTTCCACTGAAGCAAAAAGTAATGATTTAGAGGAGAGTCAGCAGATGAGCATTTGGACAGATCCTATAAGATTCACTTGCCAGCTGGAAAAATCTGCTATGTAATACAGATGGTGCACTCTGAAAGTAATTTGTGTGAAAGGTTTCTGCATATATAACAAGACATTCTCAAGTAATTGTACATTTCTGTTCTACTGTTATTACTAATGACTAGGCATGATTAAGTTCCCTTCATATTAGCAACAACAAGTTACAGGACTACGTAACAGCTAATCACCACCCATTCCTAATATACAGCACAACCCTACAGCAATACACAGCAGATATTTCCAGTGTCCCACATTGTTGGTTTGTTGTTTTTCGTTTGTTTTTTTTTTTTTCCCCTGCTATCACTTAGCTTACAGTTTCAAAATACACAAAACCAGAAGACAAACAATGACAGTCTTCAGAACATTCTGCAGTTCCCCTACTGGGTAGTAACAGAGAAATAATATGCTACTGTTCCTATGACAGTAGCATATTTCAGCTAGGAATTTACTCCAGAAAACAGCCAACTTCAGAAAACAGCATAGCAAAATATTAGTTAACTACTGGTTTCCTCCTCCAGATGAAGCAAAATCCATTACAGTTCTTAACTCCATCTGAAGATGGTTTTAAACTGCCAGTGTGTAATATAAGGTGAGTTACTACATAGTATTTTGACAGAGGAAGGATTTATTTCATGGGCTTTTTAAATTACACAATGTAAGACTGCATTTAAAGTTGACTTTCAAAAGTGTCCATGCTAGTAAAAGTTACTGAAATCATGATTAAAATTTAACATCTCACAACAACCACTGAGCAACCGCACACATGCAGTTCAGACATCATTATATTCCTAAAAAGTGCAACTTCCAATTAAAAAATTAAAGATGCGTCCAGAAAGAGTGCACTTAGTTGCTGACTTAAACACACGACTGTCAAATCCAGCCAAGGTTAACCAGTGAGGCAAACTATCTCATGGTTAAGAAAAAAATAAAACAACCCCCACAGTTACAAGTTATACACAACAAAGAGAAGCCTTTGTATTTATTTTATCAATTAAGTCTGTAGCTGTCTTGTTTTCAGGACTGCTGTGACAAAGGAAAATATCTCTGACAGATCTCACCAGAATCAAAGAGAACACAATTATATACTTTAAAGGAACTCAAGTGACTTATGGGTTTAATCCCTCAGCAAAAATATACTGGCACACTTGGAAATTTTACACCAGACTTCCTTTCCCCATTCACACTTGCTCATACAGTTGAAACATTCATATCTGACATATTACAAGTGTTTGTTGCAATTACAGCATATTACAACTATTTGAAAAACAGAATTTCTTTTCCATTAATGAAAGCTACATTGAAAAGAAACATTTTCATAAGCCTACACATCTCATGTTTTAGTCCTCCTTAAAATACAAGTGCTTCTTTGAGATAAGACAAGGTGGGGGGCATCACTGCTGCTGTTTCTGAGAGGAATTACTACAGAGGATGGTCAGCCCTTACCTATCAAAGGCTCCAGTGCACTTGGAGTGAGACAATTAAGGAAGCAGTGGCATATTACTTCTGTAGCCTCAATCTAGAGCAACAAGTTTAAGAAATTGAGGAAGAAGCAAGCAACCTTTAAGATCAAAGTAAAGCATATTTACTATTAGGTACACAAATGAAGTACCTTAGCCATTATTTAAGAGGCTTCAAATTCTAGATGCCACTTAATACTAGTCACTGACTGCTTACAACAGAAAGTTAGTGATTCAGTTAAGTTTTATGTAGGAACATGTGCCAGCAGCTCAACATCTTCCTTTCAAATAATTAAACTGCATTTAGTGCAAGAAGGTACATTGTTCCCTCTGTGTAAGTCAATACAACATAACTGCAAAATTGCAGAAGTTCACAATTAGCACAGTAAAGATTTCAAAAAAATCTGCATAAGATAAACCCCCTAATTGGTACTTCAGTGTTTTAAGATAGAATGATAGCAGCATGTGAGAAGCAAGCAGCATGTGAACTGCTGGCATTGCTATCCTGGTAACAAAGAGTTCAGACAAGGCTCAACTGCTCTCACTCCTTATTCTTGCAGGCAGAATGCTGAACACAACATGAAACCATGTTGATGCAGCTCTGTTATTTAAAGATACTCTAAATATGGCAATATGAACTACAGTCACAGCAATGAATGCAGAACAGCACGAGTCTCTCCAGGAGCCTCCTAGGTATACGTTTGTTACGCACTATGCTCTGTAGTATGGCATACCACAGTTTATCACTTGTATAACAACTTCAAATACAACTTTAAGAAAAAACTTCTCACACCTTAGATCTGAATATAGCTCTACTCCCACCCCAATTAGAAACATTCCTAAAATCAAATCTAGAAACGTGAAGTTTGCACATTTCATAGCATAGATGCCACCTCTAAGAACTTTTGCTTCCTTTACTAAAGCTTGCACTTGAGAGGAGCTCTGACTTCATCTTGCTTTTCTACACACCATAAGATTGCCACATTACCCAAACTGAGTTCTAGTCCTTGATCAGTGCTCAGTTTGAGAACAATTACACAAACTTTATTTATAATCAAGGGGGAAAAAATATGCAAAGCTTTTAGTGCTCTTATTACAAAACTAACTTTTACAGCAACAGTGGTAGAAATCAAACTTTTGGCAAAAGAAGCAGCAGATTAAGAATGTACAAGTTAGGAATAACTAATTTCCTAAGTTTGTTTTTGTTTTTAAACAAGATGACTTGTCACTTTACTGAGAAGCCTATTATAAATTAGACCAAGACTTCAAATACAGTACTCTGCAAGGCCCCACGCTATTTGGCTCTAACTTGCACACCTTTATACATTGAACTTCAAGCACACATCATTTGCCTAGTTGTTTCATTATCCTTGTGTTAAAGGCATTAAGAGCTCTGGCTAAGAAGTCCTCTGCTATCTTGTACACTCATCACACGCTTGAGGCTGTTGGAAAGCACAGCCTATGCTGCCTGCTGCTCCAACACGAGGCCCTAAGAACACATCCTCCCTAACGCTGTTATTTTTTGTACAATTGTACCCCTGATTTCATCACTGGAAAAACATCTCTAGCATTCCTGGTTACCATGGGAAGGAAATGCTCACATTTCTCAAAGGCAGAGTCATAACCTCCCATTAGCCTCACGACTGAGTTGCTTTTTGTTTTGCAGTGTTTTACTTTTAAGGCACAAATTTCTTTTTGTTATATTGTGCTGTTAAGAGAAAAACTGCAATAAACAAATAAAATATCACACATTCTTCAGTGCTAACAGGTAAATGGGTCCAAAAGATTCTCAGTCAAGCAGAGGTGAAATGAAAAAGCTCTAAAAATTTATGACAACACATAGGTAAGGTTAAGTTTCAGTACTTCCAAAAGAGCTGACCTAGCAGGACTTGCAGAGCTTCCTGCTGAAATAGCAATGATTAAAAGAGCGAAGAACACAAAGCTTTTTTCATGATTATTATTAAAAGAAAAAGCTACTACCACTGAACAAATTTGCATTTGGCAAGTCAATCTGATTGATTTTTATTTTTTTTATTCCTAGCTTTTTAGGATCTTATTAAATAAAAGACTGTCTTCATATCTACTGATTAATTTCCCATTATTTCCACAGAGAAGCAGAATACCGATATTTTTGCATTCAGTAAAGTGCTGAAATGTCAGAAAAGTGCTACTTTAAAATAGCAATGAAAAGTGCATGCTTTCTTAAACACTGTAAAAATCAATGTGTGCAGAAAATGGCAGTCTAATAGGACCAGCTGACCAGCCCATCTGGGCTGTACATATTGGCTTTCATTCCATTTAAGCAGCTCACCTGGTGCAGTAATCTCTTCAGTTTCAATAACTGAGTTTTCACAGCTGTGCAGTCCTGGACCATGTGCCGAAGTGTCATCTCATCCAGCATCACAGTATTCTCCGGTAAGCTCACCAGCTGTCTAGGAGCCTGGTAAAAATTTGGTGTGCCATAGCTTTCAAAGCGACCAACAGAAGACTCTAGGTAGTTTGATTCCCTGATAAAAATAAACATATATCTATTTATACATATATTTATATATAGATGCACACACACACACACACACACACACACAAGGCTAACAAACTAGAGCTAGGGAGCATTTAGTAACACAAACTTATGTAACATGGGCTATATTTATGTGCTGTAGTACACAAATGAAAAAAAGAATCAGAAAATGCCAGTGCTTTTTCATTTTCCTTCCCACTCGCATAAATCTCTCACAGGCTAACAACTACAGGACCCTAAAACCACTTGGCTTATCACTATTCCTATAAGTTCATTCATGCAAGCTAGCCTATAAGATCTATAGGACTAAATTTATTTTAAAAATGAAGTAAAAAACTGTTCACACTTGAAACATGAAATTAACAAGACACTAATTTTCACACAGATACAGTAATTTAAGCAAGCATTTACAGTACCCTGTGAAGACAAATAACAAACCACACTTCCAAGTAGGTTCCAGCTCAAGTTAAAACATTCTCATTTCAATTAGCTGAGTTTCACAAAGAAATCATTACAAATCTCAGTGGTGCTCCCACTTCGGCATACTATCCACAGACACTACCCAGAATCACTTGACATTCTTTAGTGACAAAAGAGATTTCTCAAAACAGGAAGAGAAAAGAAAAATCCTTTACCTGTTCAAATCATTTTTACCATGAATATAGTGCTCAGTATGACCAAGATGATAGTGATCTTGTGCATTCCACCGCTGCTGTGGTGCTCTTTTCCAGAATCCTTCCTGATGTTGCCTAGCATTTCTGTCTTGTCTATCATAACGGCTCATATTTTCACATTCATCTGCAGGGAAAAGAAATTAGAAAAATATATAGAATTTGTTCTCCAGAATCATGTAAATAAGATGTTTACTACCTGCTGACAGCAGATGCAGTGCTTTTTTTTTTTTCCCCCTCCCAAGAACAGTCAAGCAGATCTCTGTAATGAGGTTGGGATTTTACTAGCATACAAAACTTTTAAGAAGAAAAAGAGTAACCTGTGGCAGAACTAGAGGTCAGCCTTTAAAGTATTTCAGGTCTAAGAAAATCATTTGAAGGAAATAGGGCTACAGGAATGGGAAAAAATATTCAAATAATCTGAGGGAACATATTCCTCTCTTATAGACAGTATCTTCAGGTTTTTAAGAAGTTACAACAACTGATAAACAGAAATATGGTAATTTTAGAGAAAGGTCAGTACTTTGTTACAGAACAAAACAATTACTTAATATGCCTACGTATCTCATTCTAGAAACTCCTCTGTTTCTACTTGAGAGAATTTTAAACTTTAGTTACCAGGACAATAAGCACAATTTAAAACAAGCAAACCAAATCATCTCTTTAAAACACTAACTTCTGCAAAGCAAAGGAAATTCCACAAACTTCTGAAGTGAGCAAATGCTGTATTTGGCAACAGCTCATAAGCCACTAGAAACAAAGCCAAAGCAAACGCTGTCCGTGCCGTCAGGCACAGCAGAGTCCTGAAACGCTCTCCTGCCATTACACTGTCTCTCTCACTTACCCAACGAGCTTCTCCTCACATCGTCAGTCCTTTGCTAGAAGAATCAATCTACACAACAGGACATTGTTTTGCTCGGCTGCCTACTCAGCCTTAGCCACGTGAGACGCTCATAAACAGGCCTTCCTTCCTGCTGCGCTCCCAGCCTGCGCCTTGGTGGGAAGGGAGCCCAGTTTTACCCTGTGATTTAAGGCTGCCATCCTCACACACTGCATACTTGTTGAACTAGAACGGCTGCTATAAATAGTGTCCGAGCAGCATCCTGGACTCCAAAATGAAACAAGGGGAGTTTCTGTTGACCTGGGGAGTCTAATAGGCTGACGTCACTGTAGCTGCACACAAGTATGGAAAAGGGGTCGGCAAGGAGCGCTGCCAAACAAAACAAGTGCTCATATCGTACAATTCAGTCTTTTTTTTTTTGGTTGGTTTGGGTTTTTTCGCTTGTTTTTAACATCAACTAGATCAACAACAACCAAAATTTAGGTAATAAAGTAACTTGTACACTTAAAATAACAGAATATTTGTTTTCCATCAGAGGCATCCTTCTACAGCTTGCACTGCAGGGAAGTCCAAATAGGTCAAAGCAAAATAACCCTCCAGTAAGTTATGACACTCTTACGATTTTTCTGCTTTGGAGAACAAATTGAGATGTTAAATAAAAACACAAGAATATTAACAGAATAAAATTCACTTTTTCAGTAGTCCTATTTATTGAAGGGAAAGCATAAGATGAATCAGTTTCAGGCTATTCTGAAATCACCAAATCTTCAGCAGAGAAGCAATTATGGCACAGATATCTAATTTATTCCACATTAATTTCACTTCAAAAAAAAAAAAATGCAAAAAAGTAGTAATTAACTAACACTGATCCCAAACATTACTTTCTTCACCTGAACCACTGACTCAGTCAGCCCAGATTGCTGTAGTTACATGATATATTCCAGCTAACTGAACACCACTGACACTTGAATAGCAGTGTGAGTACAGATTTATTATTGTGATGCAATTAAGAAAGCAGTAAAATAAAAACAGTATATCACCTGTCTCTAGATTGAATGGCAAATTAATTTTTTATATTTGTGGCAAACATTCATCTTCAAAATACATGTATTTTGAACAGTTTTCAAATTAATTTTAAGTGGAATTACTGATGCAGATGCATTGCATGTTTCATAAACAAGGAAATTTACCAAAAACTTGATCTTCCCCTTATAATTGCTTCTGAGTTTTTGCAACAAGATAACAATTACCATTATTGAAAGAATAGTTAGTGCATAACCACTGGCACTGTGAGCAATCCCCTATGCTTGGTTTTTTATTTGTTCCAGACAATGACAATAAAAATCTTAAGCATCTGGGCTGAAAAGCTGAATTATACCAAACAATCATCACTAAGTATCAACAAGTTTAGTAACATGCACACATTAAAAGCGATCTGCAGCAGAAATTAGGTCAGCCTTTGTAATATTTCAGGTCTAAAAAAAATCATTTGGAGAAGGCACGGCTATGGGGAAGGAAGAAAAATCACAGTAATATGAAGTAACATATTCTGCTTTTTCTTTTTTTTAAAAAAAAAAAAACAACAACAATATCTTCATGCCTTTAAAAAGTTAGAAAAACACACAAAGATATTTAAGTAGGTAGCTAAAAAAGGTTTAGAAAGTGCCCAAAATTTTCAGTGTCATTTGTACAGGGCAGGGCACTACTGTGGTCCACATCCAATGTTTCTGTTCAGTTTAAGACACGTTGGCCTCCACTGAAATGGGAAGTGTAGGTCAGACCTTTGGTCAACAGCCAGCAACGATTCTTAAGAGCAGGTCAGGAATGACCAAAACCAAACGCCTGCAACTCTCCAGATAGGAGAATGATGGCATTATTTACCTGAACCAGTTCATTCTGGTTTGAATTTGTACTATTTTAGTGGCATCTATTGTCTCCATTAAAAGGTTACCAGAAGTTAACAACAGAAGCAGAATAGAAGATTCTTCAATATATTGCAATTCAAAACCTAAGGCTACTGTAACAGAGTCATATAGAATATACTAGGATATAGTTGTTATTTTGTATTAAAAAAAAAAAAAAAAAAAAAAAAAAAAAAAACTACCTAAAAAAAAATTACACTGTCATTCACCAAAGCTAAAAAGTAAAATTTGTAGCAACATTTTCAAACATAGCTGATGCATGGGACTGAAGGACTAAGTTACCACAAAATAAACTTCAAACCTCCAACAGCTTAAAGGCAGTCTGCAACAAAGTTTGGTTGGCTTACTTTTGTTTATTTCTTGTTTTATAAAAGGCAGTAAGTTTTGTAGACTCAGATTTGAAGTTTGTTGTATTAAATCCTGCATTTCAGCAAAGAAAAAAGCTAACTAAATTTAAAAAAAAATTTGAAGCAAGCATCATCTTACTGAAGAAGTCAGAAGAATAAAATTCAACAAATGCAATTTGACAGTAAAAACACTTGGGTACTCAACTAACCTTTATCATGAGGTGGGTCTTCAGGCAGGTCCACATCAAGCATGAGATCATCATCTTCAAGATCACAGGAATCAAGATTGTTCAAGATATCCTACAAGAAAACCACAAATTGAGGTGTTTTCATATACTTTGTTCTATTGCTATAGAGGCTTACTTCAAAGCTTTGCTACATTTGTATTAGATACAACATCTGATGCACTGAACAGCCACTTCTCCTTAAGGCCAAGACCAGACTTACCTGAGACTACAGCAACTAATCATCTTTATACTCATCTTAGGTCAGTGATACTGATAACAGCACTAGATAGAAAGATTAAAGCAATTTCCTACCTTGGACCTATGCAAATCTCCAAGTAATTTTCTATTCATTATTATTCTGCCTGCATTTTAAAACTGATTTTGCTCAGTTGGAATTCAGAGGCAACTTTGTGGGAAGATGATGTTAAACTATTAAACTATCTTGTTCCAGCACTCATGTCACACTGATCAAAAGTTAATCACAAAGGAAAGGTGTAGGGAACCTGTAGTATCTTGATTTAAACATCAGGAAGTTAAGAACTCTTCTCCTCTAAATGTAGGCTTGACTGAAGGATTAAAGACCAATTTATTCAGAAAAGAAAAAAAGAATGGGGAAGAATGTTTGCTAAACAAATACGGAGCCGAACTGAATCTTCCTATTTTCAAAGCTAAACATAATGCCAATACCAGACACTTGTGTTTTGAACACATATTCTTGACAGAAATACACACTGTCTTTTCTTGAATACTGTTAAAAGAAAATACCTCCATTAAATCTAATAACAACATTCCACAATTTCCAGCAATCACAGATTTTCTCAGGCAGTGGCACACTTATCTTACAGCAAGAGACAAAACGCAATTGCTAAGTATAATTGATTAACTCCATTAACCTATTAGCTTCTACTGCATCTTTCAGGTGTCATAACTCTGACACCTTTTGACTCAATTTAAATGTCTAGACACAGTATTTTCAGATTAAGATTTATTTAGCTGCTGTATTTCAGCATAAATAATAACCTAAAGTCAAATATTATTTCCCTAAAATAAAGAATGGAGAGGCTATAATCCTTTAAATGCTACCAAAAGCATCTTTGGATCCACAAGAAAAGCAACAGTACCTGAACACGTTTCTGGCTTTTAAGGAAACTTTGGTGTGGAACAGCAGCAATACCTCCTAAATACCTAAACATGTCAGTCTCTCACTGACCAAACACACTTCTAAGGTACTGATGAGATTATCGTGTTCCAGCACCTTTTTCAGCCAGCAAAACTTAAAACAGTTTACAGCACTAAGCACTGTTGCCCTTTGTCTTTAATGCTATGCTTCATATAAAGCTGTTTCTGAAGTCACCATGAACTGTTGGTTGCAGAGATTATGTCAGTAGTACAAAAAAAAAGGCCATCAAATGTTAGAACCAAATGGAATCATGCTCCATTCAGAAATGCGGCCAGTCAGGTATTTCAAAGAAAAACAACTGTAATGTCAGCAAAGCCAAGTCTGTCAAACAAACAAAAAAGGCTAACCCCTCCTTCTCTAAAAATACCAGCAGCAGAAAAAAAAATATCAAGAGGCTGTAGAATACTTTTAACTGAGCAGGCAGGTGCTGGATGCTGCTAGCACTTGAGGCTGGAAAGCGACATGAACACCAAAGTGCAGTACTTGATCAGAGAACACAGCCTCTGTTTAACACGACTGCTCAAAAAAGAAACTTATGGCTACTAAGTGACTGCACAAAGCAGGTCTAAGGAAATTGTTAACAGTCACACAGCTCTAAAGCTCTTGATCTCTGTTTTCTAGTATCCCACAAATAAAAGCCCTGGCCTTAAGGTCTAGGATTATACTCATGTATTTCACATCCATTTCTTTTCTAAGAACAGAATTGCAGATTTTTCTTAGCCTTATCACTACATCTAAAGTCAATTCATAGGAGCAATAGTGAAAACCATTAAGTTTAAATACTGTATTGCTGATTACTTTCTGGATAATAAGCTGTTCTGTAAATATTTCACTGTATACTTGCATACAGATCATCAACACAGTGCAAAACACTGTTCACATGGAAAGCTATCCCTCTGCTGGCTATTTTTCAGATGTACTGATAGAAAGGAAGAACACTGATAGGCATCTCTGCGCTGTTGATCCATCTGTTCTGCAGTGGTTCTATAGCATTCATACAGTACTCCCATTTGATTACAAATGCGCAAAGAGCAAGGCATATTTTAAGACTTTTTTTGCATGACAGAACAGCAAACATTGTCCATTTCTGCAACAGGATGTACTTCTTGACTTAAGAGAAAGGCTTTGTGACACACGATGAAAGCAGTTAACATCCATTTGGTAAAACATGAGCTATATAAAAGGAAGGTGGAATACTTGAGAGAGAACCACTTCTGTTCACTGTATTTCAAAGTCCCGTGTAGATAACACTGTTTACGTGTGGTTCTTTAAGCATTCACAGGCAAGGAACACAGTATCAGAGCATCATGAATAATAAATGTACACAGAAAAACTTCCAGAGAAATGGAAGTAATTTAAAGAAAATGTGATTTTAGCATTCAGACTACAGATGCATAGTTATTTTTCTATCCACTAATTTACACTTTTCCAGAAACTCAAGGATTTTTAACCAACATGTTTTTGTTTTTTTTTTTTTAAAGGCAGCGAAACATAGGTGTTTGAGGGGCAAGTTCAGTTCGTTAATTGATAAATTGTTTCTATACCACATTTGGATCATCAAAATTAGCAGGAAAAGCACTGTTTTCCTCTACTATGGGAACCTCAGTGAAGATGACACACTAGTTCAATGCCCAAAAACACTTAAAGAACCATAGATATTACTGTGCAAAAGCATTTTAAAAGTACAACACAAAAATGAAGCATGCCAGTTTTAACTAATAAACCTGGATAGGCCACTTTGCTCTCTGAATCAGAGCTTCAGAAGTCCAACGATGTCAAACAAGGTCAGCACTTGAGATGCCAAAAATACTTCTCTGTCAACAGCACATTTCATCATGTTTCTCTAATTATACATTACTGAACTACACTGAGGAAACTCCATACTAGAAAACAAAGCTCTGAATACAGAATTTTTGCAATAGCTGCACCGCATGTGAATTCTCTAAGTATTTTCTACTGCTATCTACTTAGATGCAGATAAATGCAGACACGCTTTGTAAATGAAGTGTTAGCACTGCCATCTTGAAATAGCTGAGAAAACCTGCAGGCTTCATGTGCTCATTAGTACTTATCAAAACCTGCACTTACAGACTCCAGTTGTTATTCTTACTGGTGCATAATGAACTTAACTGCACGACGGAAACACTGTTAATATGAGAACTTAGCAGCTATTATCATCATGCTACTCTGGGCAACAATCTCAAAACAGAAAGTAAAGAAACATTTCAAAATGCATCACTGTGAACCCTACCAAATATTACATGTTTTAGCACTTACGAGGATTTACTGTAAGAGATGAATCCCATTTTATTTGTGCAGCTGAAAGAAACAGTACCTATTAAAAGCTGATAGTCAACCAGGCAAGAAGCAGCTCCCCTGCCACAGTTAGCTTTGGTGCAGCTTCACCTTGAGCACTGTGTGCAGCTGTGGCCTCCAAAGCATAAAAAGAATAGTAAGGACCTTGAAAGCACCCAGAGGAGGGCAATGGAACTGATAGCAGAGCTGCAAGACATCCTGCAGGGAGAGGCTGAGGACACCTGGGCTGTCCAAAGTGGAGATGAGAAGGCTGAGAGGTGACCTCATCGCTCTCAGCAGCTCCCAGAGCAGGGGAAACAGAGGCTCTGCTCCTGGGAACTGATGGCAGGACACAAAAGGCACAGAGCTACACCAGGGGAGATGCAGACTGGGCATCAGGAAATATTTCTTTACTGTGAGGGTGTCAAATACTGAAACAGGCTTCCTAGAGAGATGCTAGATGCTTCAAGTCTGTCAGTGATCAAGAGACTTTAGGAAAATGCTTTCATTCATTTAACTTACTGTTATCACTGAAGTTGATATTTTTAAGTCCCTCAGAAATGAGCTATCCTACTTTATAGTAACTTTGCAAGTTTGTATAGCATTAGATTTTCCAAGATGGTACAACTTAGAAAGAGATACATGTTTGGAAGTGTTAAATCTCATCCAACTACAATGGCGTTGCCTAGCTGTCCCTCTAGACAGGTTTTCAACTGAATACTTCAGTAAGTGAAGAAAGCACCATTGTCTGTGTAACAACAAAAGCTCTAGAGGAGAAACAGATGATCCGTGACTAATTGCTATAACTGAATGAGCTGAGAGCCCTAATAGCAGTGAATGCTCCTACTTAGTAGGGAGACGGAAAAAGACGGGCAAGTGTACAGGCTTGGAAACAATTACACCACACTTGGAAAGCAGCTGTTAATGTCCCTACAGAGCAGCAGACAGCTGCTCTTGAGACATTCCACACAAAAAAAGTTAAACATCCTAGTCAGATGTCAGCTTGCTTTTCCTACTGCTAATGACCCCTCATTTACAGAAGCTTGTACATCTATCAGCACAAGTCACAGTACAGTTTTCTACATGAAACTAATGCTACAGCAACAGACACATTACTACGCATTCAGCAAATACTGATTTTGATTCAAATCACACAGCAGAAAACAGTAAGCAAAGTAAGTTCTCATTAAAAAAAACAAAACTCTTGAAACAAGAGATGATGCAGGGAGCTGAGACTGAGATAAGAAGCTCAAATTCCAGTCTAAAGGGTAAGGCTCTATGATATGACAGCTTAGGTCAGTTACTCGTTTAATCCACTTAGCAGTGAGTGGAGCATCAAGCAGCATCAAAACAATCCTTTCATGCAGAGACTGTCCAACAAACAGCACTTCATACAAAAAGTGTACTTTCCTCAGACATAAAAACAGACAGCACATTGCTCCTTGTAGCTGTAACATCAGTGCTCTTCTGTTGCATGATGACCTTCTCATTACACGCAATACTGCATCCAAATATTTTTTACTTCAAAAAATACAGGAATCATCCTGTCAGTAGGGAAGAAACTTCTGTAAAGAAATATTAAGGTAACGGATGAATTG